AGGCTGATGCTCTAACTACTGAGCAAAACCGGCCAGGGCTGTAATACAGATTTTAAAACTGATCTGAAACATTTCAAGCCATGCAGATATATCACTCCCTGTGGTTATTTCAAATTCAGTTGTTAGAGAATTGTGAACAAGGCCTAAGGGTACACATATCTGCAGGCATAAGTGTGCAGTGCAGGATGCTCTAAACCATGTAGGCTCTAAAAATACACACCTTTTTATATGAGAAAAGGTGTATAGAAGTCAGGGACAGGGACAGTCCAGGGTGAGAAAGGGTCTCACAGCAAGAGGGCATCCAGGAGGAGGAGGGCTGGTTCTCGAGGTACAAAGTTCAGTTAGAATATGCATTATTAAATAGAAAAGGAATGTGGCAATATCTGTGTGCGTGTCTGTGTACACAGGTGTGTGGTGTGTGTATGTGTGTGTGTGTGTGTGTGTGTGTGTGCGCGCGCGATGTCAGTGCTCCAGATTCTGGGAAAGGAGACAGAGAAAGGAAGGATCACAGACCTATCAAGAAGTAGAGAGATAAATGACTAGCTCTTCCAAAATTATCGAGTTCTTTTACATCAACTACTCTCCAGGCTCCTTAATGTTCTTTTAAAGAAAGATTTCAAGTAATGTAACTACATATGGAAATAAAACAAGAGAAAGAGGCATACACACCCATGATCCTGCTCTTCTATAACGTTTACCATTTTGGTAACAAGTTTGTGTGTTTTTTCTATCTTTTTTTTATATTTGCTGATAGAAATTTAAAGGCAAGTGAAAAGAGTCCTCAGTAATCTACTTCTATGGGAGCAATGAATCACTTGGTTCTTAAGAAATACAAACAGGAAAGAGGCAAGGTGCAGGAGACCTAGAGGAAACCAGTGGTTGTGACTGTGCCCACTTCCTGGCTTGGAGCACATCTTCTCACGGTCCTGGGATCACCCCACGGGTGGGTGTGGCCTGTGATGGGTGTGCTATTAGTATTGATATTTAGTCAGTAACTTTAGTAACAGTAAAAACATTTCTTCTTTACTTGGTGTTCTTAAAGGAGAAGCTAAGGAGCCAGAGTTTAGTGCATCCTTGAAATCAGCAGGGGGTGCCCTGTAGCAGCATTGCTTCTCCTGGCAGCCTGTCGCCACAGATTGGGGGCCCTCTCTTCTCCAGCTCAGGTCCCCAGGAAGGGACAGCAGAAGCCCAGGCTTTATTCTTACTGGCTTCATTACTTCTAAAACCTACTTAACAAAAACAAGGAACATGATGATTATTGTCTCAAATGCTTGATCTTGCTTGGAGAGACCAAGTTTAGCAACACTAGGAGCTAAAACATCTCCATATTCATAATGTGCTGACCAGAATGAGTATATTAGGTTTGCTATCTTATTCAAATATATTTCATGCACGAAAACTTGACGTTTGTTCTGTGTTCATTATCTCCCAAAAGGGAAGCATCCACAAAAAATATATGTATGAAATTTTCAGAAAGGATTAGTATAGATCTATATTATACTTTAAAATTTTATTACACCATAGGCATTTTTCATGTTTTTACCTATTATTTGTATATATTTATATTTGTATTCATAAGTATATATTTATATATATTATTTCAGGTGACTATATATTATTCCATTATTCCATAATATATTATTCCAACTACGACCCTTAGTTGGCTTCCACTTTTGCACTATTATCAATAAACTATTATAAATAAATAAGTAGTTTTATTCATCAGTTATTTTGTTAGCTTTCAGTCCAAGGAAGCAAATAATGAACCTAAGTATGTAGTGGTTAAGAGTACAGGTTTTAGAGTCAAATAGACCAAATATAAAAATCCAACTCTGACACAATTTATTTTTTTGTTGTTGTTTTTGACATTTTCTTCTGAAACGTTGGGGTAATATTACCTAACTTACAGACTTGGTTGTAATAAATAAGTAAAATAATCATTATGTGTCAGTTTAAACAGTGCCTGAAATAAGCAAATGCCTTGTTAATATCACTAGATTACGAACATGTTTCTCAAGTGCTTTTGACAATATAGAGGGCCTGTCACAAAGTGTGAGAGCCCCAACCCACTTTGGATGTTATTCTTTCTGTAAGTGGAGTACCTATATTTAGAGTGGTTGCTATACATTATAGGTAATGGAATGACACAAAGACTATCAGAAGACCAGCTCACTTCTGCTACAGAAATGAAGGGATGTTTTCACTTTAGTTATTTTTTGAATGAAAATATATCTGGGAGGAGTGGAACAGCATAGAAATAGCAACCATTTTTGAACACTGCTGTGTGCATGCCAGAGACTGTGTAATTATCGCACCTATCATTCCTAATATGACAAGCATCCCTACCTGTAGTACTATTCCATTTCTCAGGTCACTGTGGTTTATTTGCTATCTTGCCTTCTAGGACAGGGGCATGGTGGAATGAGGCCACTGTGAGAAAAAGGACCTGACAAGAAAGCAGGGGCAGAGAGACTACCAGAGATAATCTGTCATAGTCGGTTTTGTCCTGAAATCTTCTGAAACCAAATCCCCAGGAATCCTTGTTCTGATGGTGCCACCAGGGCAAAGCAGACTGCTCCAGTTTGCCCCATGGAAACGGTGGGCTGCAAGCGTGCCTCCCAGACCAGAGCTCGTTGGAAAGGCTGCAGACGGCCCTTCCCACGCAGTCTGCTCAGACTCCTCCCTGTAGTGGATTCAGCCTCTTTCAGAATCTGGTAAGAAGCCTGGATGCATCCTCATGGTCACTGTTGCAGGCAGTCCTTGAAGTCCTCCTTCAGTCCTCAAACACTTAAAATATGAAAGTTTGTGACTCCAGAACCCGAGCTAATTAATGTTGAGCCTATACTGCTTTGTCTCGCCGTAGAGGAGACCCACGCCTGTCTCCTGTTGTTGTTTAAACTGTACACAGTTAACTATTCATCACCTTAGAGCAAAACAATGACTGACAAATGCAAAGACCTAGGGCGCTGATTTTGTGTTAAACTACCAACTCAGTGAGTGACCCACGGGTTCCTCCTCTGTGAGAAAGAAGGGATTGGCTTCTTGCTTTGCTTGGTTCTTTCTAGCATCAGCATCCTAAGAGCTGAAGTGATTAATAATGGTCTGGAGGCAACTCTAGATTTTATGGGGTTCCACCTAGTGGCTGTGACGCATATTGCAGCTCCCAGTTCTGCGCGGTTTTCTCAGGCCTGTGGTCAGGGGCCCCTCGCCGGTTTTTGGTTTGCATATCATACAGTACATTCATAATCTACAGCACAGAGGAGAATGGAGAAGCGTGGTGAGAAGCAGGGAAGCAGGACAAATATTCGAGCCTCACATTTAATAAAGCCTCGAAATTAGATCAAATTTAAACTTTGATGTTATCTCTAATTGAGATATTAACAGAGAGCCATTGTGTCTGTGAATGTATGCATTTCAGCATTAACTGGTTAAATGTGAACACTTAAAATATACTTCAGTTTGTGTAGCCACATATCAGCCTTTCTTCATGGGAAATAGAGTAGGAGCCTCAAATGATGGAAGTAGTGTATGTCCTTCTTTCTCGGAGAGGTTTCGTATGTAGAGAACACAGTGGAGGCCAAGCAAAGTCCTGCTGTGGCAAAGTCGTCGAAGGGAAGGTCCACAGGAGAGATAAGAAAAGTGTGTAAAAATAGTTAGTCCTAGAGCATAGCCACCGTGTTTTCCCCACGCACCTCCTTTGTGACTTTGTTAAACACCGGGGATAGAAAGACGCAGGAGATGTGGTTCCTATTACTTTCAAGAGACTGATAATTCAATGGGAGAGGAAGATGTTTAGAAACATACTTGAAATGCTATATGTCAATATATGAGCTACAGTCGAGGGTTTTAAAAATGATTACAATGGCAATAAAACAGGGAGATCTATTTTGTGGGGAGAGTTAAGGAATCCTTCACAGGATCGAAGTGAGAAAATAATAATACCTACAACAAAGAGTCATTATGAAGGTTAAATGTGAGAACAAATAATATCTAGAATAAAAATTAGGGCGTTACTATTAGATTCTAGAGAAATTAAAATAATTAAAAAGGGTTAGAAATAATGAAAAACAACTCATCAAATTATGAAATTTTGATAAAATGATCAAGCTTCTTTAAAGAGCAATTTATTAAAAACATATACAAGATGTATTATAAAAATTGAATAGTCCTATATTTAACAAGGTATGTGTCTGAAAATTAAAACCTTCCCAGAAAGGAAACTTCAGGCACAGATAAGTTTATTGCTGATAAATTACAAACATTTAAGGGAAAATAACACCAATCTCATCTAACCTGTCAAAGAATAGAAAAAGAGGGAACACTTCCAACTTTACTAGGCCAGTATTATTGTTATTGTTATTGTTATTGTTATTGTTATTATTATTTTTTTTAATCCTCACCCAAGGACATTTTTGCATTTATCTTCAGATAGAGTGGGAGAGAGGAAGAGAAAAAGAAACATCAATGTGATAGAGACACATCAAGTGGTTGCAATGCACACAACCCAAACCGGCGCTGGGGACAAACTGCAACCGAGGTACATGCCCTTAGTGGGAACCGAACCCAGGACTCTCTGGTTTGCAGGCCAACGCTCTAACTGCTGAGCCAAACTGACAAAGTCTAGGCCAGTATAATCTTGATAACAAAATTTAGTAAGGACATTATAAGAAAAAATATTACCCTGACATGTTTGGCTCAGTGGGTAGAACTGTCGGCCTGTGGACCAGAGAGTCACGGGTTGAATTACTGTCAAGGGCATGTACCTCGATTGAGGTTTGTTCCCGGCCCTGGTCGGGGTTGTGCAGGAGGCAGCGAGTCGATGTGTCCCTCTCATGTTGGTATTTCTCTCTCTCTTTCCCTCTCTCTCCTTTCCTCTCCCTCTCTCCCACTCTACCTGAAGATAAATAGAAAAATATCATCGGGTAAGGATGGAGATATATATATTAAACTGTTTATGTGTGTGTGTGTGTGTGTGTATAACAGTTTAATATCTCTCATAGGCCCAGATGCAGAATTCCCAAGTTACATTAGCTGAAAATGGAATCAAGTGAGATCAAGGTGGGTTTTTTGAGATTGTTTCTATCTTCAGATATCTATTTAATCCACTATAGAAAGAAAGTGAAGGAGAATATTATAAAATCATCTCAATAGTTGAAGGAAAAACTGATATTCCTCAACATCCATTCACATTATAAACATTTAGCACACTAGAAATCAGAAGAAACTAATTTAATCTGTTAAAGAACATCTACCAAGTATGCCTCGTGATTAATGGTAACATCTTTGAGTTTGCACCGTGAAATCAGGAAGGAGATGAAGTCACCTCTTGTACGTAACATTTACTGGAGATGCTGGTTAGAACAAATGGCAGAGTATTACAAAGGAAGAAATGACTGCCATTGTTTTTGGGACGCATGGTAGTAGATGTGGAAAACACAAAAGGAACTTCAGATAAACTATAAGAATTAGCAACTGAATTTAGTAAATTGAGCATACATATATCAATTTGCATTTTATATATCAGCAAAAAGTGATTAGAACAAAACATTTTAAACTACATAGTTAATAAATAATGTACAAGGTCTTCCTCAATGCAGAACACTGTTTACATATTATTGAGAGGTTTTAAATATATTCGGATGGAATTCAGGTCAAACGCAAAACATTCAAAGATGCCCATAAGATGTTAGCACTAATTGCATGTAAACCCCAATAAGAAGGATGCAACCTATTAGCTGCTCATTATAGGATTGTTTTCAAAAATCTTCCATGAAAACTGTCAGTGACTTCAAAGCTTTGATCATGTCTGGCAAGAAAGGTTGTGGTATGTCTTATGAGTGTCTGGAGCATCAGAGGAACTAAAGAAGATAATGTTGATAGTGATCTTTAAACTAGATGAGGGAGGGTGAGGAAAATGGAGAGGGCTGGGAGAATAAACTAATTCATAAATATAAAGCTACCATGAGGTTCTGAAGGCAAGGAGCAGATCACCTGACTTGGTTTTTTAACTATAACCAAGGGTTTGTACTAAAAATAATTTCTGTCTTGTGATTCAACATTAATATGTTCCCAAATCTAGCTTTTTGTATACTAAAAGTCATTTACAGTCTGTGTTCTGCCTGAATGGATTTATGGGGGGAACTAAGGCCATGTGGTAAGAAACATCCAGACACTATTATTTAAAGCATGGATAAATTTGTGCCCACTGTTACACTTGTGGCTTTGTTGAGCACTACTGTGTCAAGTGCTATAGAAGAGGTTTTATGTATATTACGTGTTTTGTATAATTGTACCTTTCTTAAAAATGAAGGAATGAGACTCAAGAGGATGTGCAGCTTTTTCAAGGTACCCAGACAGTTAAGAGTAAAGAGTCAGTTGTGAAGTCAAACCTACCTGACTCTAAAACATGGCTATTTTCATTACACAACGATGCCTGCAAAGTTGAGGTATATGATCAACTGTTCAGCTCAGTATCTGATACATCATTAGTATTCAACAAGTTGTTATTATTATTATTATTATCATCAAAATATGACCGAGTCTTATGGAAAGTCTTTTTTTTTTTTTTTTATGAAGTAGAGCTTGAATCTCTTATCCAATAAAGGAGTGCTCCTTCTTGGCAGCCCATATTATGAAAAACTATAGGATTGATAATGCAAAACATGGTAGAGATGGATATATCTAAGCTTTACGCTCAAGAAGTGACAGTTAGGATAGTAAGTTGACACTCAAATTGATGAGCAAATTCTGTGCAGTGGGCTATTTTTTCTCTGCTATATTTCCTTGGTAACACACCCTTAAAAAAAAATCTGTGACGTTCTTGAAAGAGAAGAAAGTTTTGCTGCATAACTCTGAGGACTGGTTTATTCCTACAATGTATTAGTCACCTGATAAAAGCTTTATTTATTTAGCCCTGTCAGGGCTGGCTCAGCAGTTGGACCAGAGAGTCCATGGACCAGAGAGTCACAGGTTCGATTCTGGTCAAGGGCACATATCTCAGATGTGGTTCAGTCTCTGGCCCTGGTGGGGATCATGTGGGAGGCAACCAATCCATGTGTCTCTCTCACATTGATGTTTCTCTCTCTCTATCTCCCCCCCCCCCTCCATCCCTCCCACTCTATTTGCAGATAAATGGAAAAATATCCTCTGGTGAGGATTAAAAGAAAAACAAAAAGACCCCTTGATTTATTTATAGATAGTAATCCTGAAAGCACCATAAATGACTAGTAGCTGAATTAGTTCTTTCATCTGTCCGAGTTAGATTCATGTAGTCAATGGACATGCAATAAAGTGGTCTTTTCCTGCCTTCTGAGTAGGCTTCAGATTGGAAAGATTAAAGGTAATTTTCTTTTCATATTTGTGTGAACTTTAGACAAATACACCTGAATAGGTATATTTCAAACAGTAGGATGTGATGGAGAGTTGCAACTTTCTTAAAATTTTTATGTGAGCTAGAGTGTTCAAAATGGCTTAATAAAAAATCAAAAGGAAGAGGAAAGATGTAAGTTATTTGATATTTGTTAATGTAACACATCAAAATTATACATTAGCTTTGTTCAAACAGGAACAATACAACTTAAAGTATAATTCTTTATAATTACTCAGTTTTTCCTGCAATGTTCCCTCGCCATCACTGCTCATTTCTACCTGTCCAGATCCTATATAGTTTCATGCTTAGCTCTGCATCCTTAGGGGTAAGCAGTGAAATTAATTTTCCACGACCTGAATATTAAGGCTTGTTTTGTGGTGATTTGTATGCATATTTTCTGTATAAATATATTTTTTTCAGTGAAATATACAGGCCTTAAGGACAGTGATTGTTTTTCATTTTATCTTTGTAATCTCCAGGGAGCCTAACACAGTGCCTTTCATCTAGTAAGTGCTCAACAAATGTTTGGTTATTGAATAAATAACAGAAAAACTAACAGAAAAAAATGCAATAAAAATTAGAAATTGAAAAGACAAGGTAGTTGGAAATTCTTCATGGGAATGGACTATTTTTCTCTTTGCTATTCTGAAAAAAAAAAATAAATGGAAGAAGACATTTAAGGTGTTTGCCTGATAAAATGAAAAAATGAGTAACACTTCTAATTTACCAATTATTATCAAAGAAAAGGAAGAGCAACTTTTTATTTAAAATACAGTTAAAAATATTATCCAAAGATGGTGGCGGGAAGGACTGGAGGGAGGGTGGGTGTGTGAGAGAGTGAGCGAGTGTGTGAGAGAGCGGGAGTGGACTTAAACATGGTTGCTCAAACCCTAGCAGTGCAGACCCATGGAGCAGAAGTTTCCTGTGCTGTGCACGGGAGCAGCTGGCTACCACGATAAGAGGCTCTTCAGGGTGCTTCACCTGGAGCCGCTGGGAGGTCCCACCATTTTGGAAGATCCCGGGTCTTCCCTGGGAGGAGGCAGTGGGAGCGGCCAGGGCCCACCAACCTGAGCCCACCAGCAAACCTGGCACCATTGGACCAGTAGACACTCTGTGTCAACACAGACCAGTGCTATCAGAGTCCAGATACACCCCCAGCAACAGAGGCAGGAGAGCAAACATCCATCCCTAGGCAACACAAGCACAGACCAGCAGCTGAGACCCATCCCCAGAAACTACAGCAAAAGCTGAGTAGGAGTTGAGCCCCATGGGGCAGCAGCACTCCCCAGCCTCCAGGGGTGGGACCTGGGGCTCCACAGTGGGCTGTGTGGTCCAGTAGCCCACAAGAGCAGTGGGAAGCTATAGACTGAGAGAGACTGGTGTGATCCAGCTGCCTGCCCTCGGAACTGCAGGTTGCGGGGACACCAGAGAGGCCTGTGTGACCCAGCAGAGACTGAGCAATCTAGTTACCCGAGGGACCTACGGGGTGCTGAAGCACCAGATAGGCCTGTGCGAGTCAGCAGGGACTGTGCGATCTACTTACCCATGGGGCCTGTGGGGTGCTGAAGTAGCAGAGAGGCCTGCATGACCCAGCAGGGACTGTGTCACCTAGTTACCCACGGGACCTGCGGGGTGCTGAAGCACCAGAGAAGCCGGTGCGACCCAGCAGCCCATAACATAGGCATAGAGCCAGGCCACCAAAGCGACTGTGCAATCCAGCTACCCATGGGATCTTCAGGGTGGGGGGGTACCAGAAAGGCCTATGAGACCCAGCTGCGTACAACATAGGCATAAAGGATGTGAAAATGGAGGTAGAGTGAATACAAGATACACAGAAAATCACCCAGGACCAAACGAGAATTACAACTATAATAAGGACAAATCCCCAGGAAAAAGCAACAGAAATGCAGCAGGACAGGACCAAATAACCAGGGACACTGGAAGGATCTATGGAGGCGTGAGAGGGTGGTGGACTGGGAACCCACGGACAGCAGTAGTCGTAGCTTTGAGCAGCGCCCTTGGGGAATAAAGACCAAGCCTGTTCCACAGTGCAGAGAGCCATGACAGAGCACTAAAATAGCCACAGTCACTCACCTGGGGACTACGGCAAAGGGAGTACAGACTGGGTTGGAACTCTGTGGGGACACCCAGGATTTGGAGGGCACTCAGAGTTTTTACTGAGTTGCAGCCACAAAGGAGTATGACCAGTGTGCTCCTTCCAAGAGCTATGGAGAAAAGCACCAGCCCCTCCCGCTCAGAGATTCAGCCTTTCCCAGGCGAGGCAAAGAAATGCAAATTGAGGATCATTAATAACCAGCATCTATCCTACCCTCTGGAAATCCTCTTATGCAGAACACCAAGGCTATATTCCAAGGCACTGAGTAACCAAGACTACTAGCCACTAGGAAAAAGCTAGAGGATAACTGACACTTTCCTGGGCTTGCAAATCTACCCGGGAAAGTAAGACTTGACAGTGGTGTTTAACGTAGGCCCACCCAGGCTCATCCAAACCCAGTAGAGGGAGCCACAAACAGCAGAACACCAACACCCGGAGGAATAATTTGGCAGGCTGCAAAACCCACTGATATAGCCAAATGGTGAAACAAAGAAACAAATCGCAAATGAAAGAACAAGAGAACTCTATTGAACATGAGATAAATGAAATGCAGCTAAGCAAAATATCAGAGGTAGAGTTCAGAGCCATGATCTGGAGGAAGCTCAACAGCATGAGTAAGGACATTAGCACCATGAGTAAAGATATAGAAACATTGAGAACTAACCAAGTGGAAATAAAGAATGACATAGCAGAAATAAAGAACACATTGGAAGTACTAACCAACAGAGTAGAGGAAGCTGAGAACCAACTCAGTGAAATTAGAAGACAGGGTAGGAAAAAATCAACCAATCAGAAAACCAAAAAGAAAAAAAACAATTAAAAAGCAGGAAGACAGCTTAAGAGAACTGTGGGACAACTGGAAACATAATAACATTAGCATCATAGGAGTCCCCGAAGAGGAAGAAAATGGGCAAAGGTTAGAGAATATACATTAAGAAATAGTGACGAAAACTTTCCTAACTTGGTGAAGGAAGAAGGCATTCAAGTTCAAGAAGCACAGAGAGCCCCAAGTAAGAAGAACCCAAAAAGGCCCACACCAACACACAGTAATTAAAATGCCAACATTTAAAGACAAAGACAGAATCCTAAAGGCAGCAAGAGATAAGCAACAGGTTACCTAAAAATAAAACCCCATACGACTCTCAGCTGACTTCTCAGCAGAAACACTACAGGCCAGAAGGGAGTGGCATGAAGTAATCAAGGTCATGAAAAACAAGTATCTGAATCCAAGACTACTCTATCCAGCAAGACTATCATTCAAAATAGAAGGTCAAATAAAGAGCTTTCCAGACAAAAAAAAGCTAAGGGAATATATTAACACCAAACCAGCACGGCAAGATATGCTAAAAGGACCGCTGTAATTAGTAGAACAAACAGGAAGAAAAATAGAACCACACTAAGCAAAAATGGAAATAAATAAGTACATATTAATTATCATCTTAAATGTGAATGGTTTGAATGCTCTGATAAAAAGGCACAGAGTAGCTGACTGGATAAGAGAGCACAACTCACATATATGTTCTTTACAAGAAACCCACCTCACAACAAATGACTCACATAGGTTGAAAGTGAAGGGATGGAAAAAAATTTTTCAAGGAAATGGAAAGCAAAAAAAAAAAAAAAAAAAAGAAAAGCTGGGGTAGCAATACTCATATCTGATAAAGCAGATTTCAAAATGAAGGCCATAACTAGAGACAAAGAAGGCCACTACATAATTTTGAAAGAATCTATCCAACAGGAAGATATAACCTTGGTAAACATATATGCACCCAATATAGGAGCACCAACATATATTAAAAATCTTCTGGAGGGCTTTAAAGGAGAAATCAACAGCAATACTATCATAGCAGGGGACTTCAATACCCCGCTCACATCACTAGATAGACGCTCTAGACAAAAAATTTAAAAGTAAACACAGACTCTAAATGAAGTGCTAGATCAAATGGATTTAATAG